CATAATTTAAAACTACTTCCTGGATGATCCATGGGGATTTAGTCTTGTTTCACACAGACCACCTTAACTGACACATGCTTATCAACTACACTAGAGAAGGTCTTCAGCCAATATTCCAGAGCGTCATCTGGATCAGGAAGTTGATAAACGTGGTCAAGAGGTGATTTGAGCAAGTCTAGTAGAAATGCATCTTGATTACAATTTTTATAGCTTTTAAGTTTAATACTTACATGTTTTTGTTTGATGATTTTTGCGGCTATTTTATTCCAGGCACAAATTACAGGATAATGATCGCTCATTGTTGTAGTCTTTACCTTGCCTTCTTTAATGCTATCAGGACATGTTTCATAAATGTGGTCTACAAGTGTTGACAATGATTTAGTTATTCTTGTAGCTTGTGTGACTATCTGCCGGAGATTATATGAGGTAATCTGTCTTCCACGCCTTGTTGAGTGAGTGAAAGATGTCATGATACATTTATATTGAGTCAGTGACATGTGTCGTGAAACACTGAGTCAGTAGCACATGTGATATTACAGTGATATTGAGTGAATGACATTTATCATGATACATTAATATTGAGTCAGTGAAATATGTCATGACACATTGATGTTAAGTCAGTGACATGTGTCATGAGACACTAATATTGAGTCATTGACATGTGTCATGATATATAACATTGATAAATTGACATGTATCATGGTACACTAATATTGAGACTGTGACAAGTGTCATGGTTAACTGAGATGCCGTACAACCATGGTTTGTTGATTGACTGAGGTAATCATGTTGATCATACTTGATGAAATACTTGTTGACTGTTGTGGCCTTAAACAGCATTGACAGATTAATGTGATAAAGCCTTGTTCAGTAAAACAAAGATATATCATCTCAGATGTAAGATACAAACAATAGTCCAGTAGAGTTAATGGAATTGTGATATATCATCTCAGATGTAATACACAAACAATAGTCCAGTAGAGTTAATGGAATTGTGATATATCATCTCAGATGTAATACACAAACAATAGTCCAGTAGAGTTAATGGAATTGTGAAATATCATCTCAGATGTAAGATACAAACAATAGTCTAGTAGAGTTAATGGAATTGTGAAATATCATCTCAGATGTAAGATACAAACAATAGTCCAGTAGAGTTAATGGAATTGTGATATATCATCTTAGATGTAAGACACAGACAGTAGTGTTTCAGACGATTATTGTCTGTCTGGTGTCACCAATAGAAACTGTAATCTCAAATGCCTGCTGAATATTGTCTGTATCACCAATAGAAACTGTAATCTCAACTATCTGCTGATTATTGTCTGTCTGGTGTTACCAAGTCTCCTGTTCAATTCTACACTAACCACTGATTGTCAAACTTCATGAACATGTGCACATGCACGCAGCGCACGCACACACACACACACACACACACACACACAGATAATGATAGCAACAGCCAGATATTTTATTGGTCTTATATTACTGATAGAAACTAGAGATATCAGCAACATACTTTGTGCATACCAGCAAACTTATAGTAAATTGTTGTTTCGTACAGATTGTTTCACAACCAAGTGTTGCTACATACAGATTGTGTAGCAGCCAAGTGTTGTTACATACAGATTGTGTAGCAGCCAAATGTTGTTACATACAGATTGTGTAGCAACCAAGTGTTGTTACATACAGATTGTTTCACAACCAAGTGTTGTTACATACAGATTCTGTAGCAACCAAATGTTGTTACATACAGATTGTGTAGCAGCCAAGTGTTATTACATACAGATTGTGTAGCAGCCAGGTGTTGTTACATACAGATTGTGAAGCAGTGAAATTTTGTTACATACAGATTGTGTAGCAGCCAAATGTTGTTACATACAGATTGTGTAGCAGCCAGGTGTTGTTACATACAGATTGCTTCACAACCAAGTGTTTTTACACACAGATTCTGCAACAGCCAGGTGTTGTTACATACAGATTGTGAAGCAGTGAAATTTTGTTACATACAGATTGTGTAGCAGCCAAGTGTTATTACATACAGATTGTGTAGCAGCCAGGTGTTGTTACATACAGATTGTGTAGCAGTGAAATGTTATTACATACAGATTGTGTAGCAGCCAAGTGTTGTTACATACAGATTGTGTAGCAGCCAAATGTTGTTACATACAGATTGTGTAGCAGCCAAGTGTTGTTACATACAGATTGTTTCACAACCAAGTGTTGTTACATACAGATTCTGCAACAGCCAGGTGTTGTTACATACAGATTGTGTAGCAGCCAAATGTTGTTACATACATATTGTGATATATAGCCAAGTGTTGTTACATACAGATTGTGTAGAAGCCAAGTGTTTTTACATACAGATTCTATAGCAGCCAAGTGTTGTTACATACAGATTGTGTAGCAGCCAAATGTTGTTACACACATACTGTGTAGCAGCCAAGTGTTGTTACATACAGATTATGTAGAAGCCAAGTGTTTTTAGATACAGATTCTGAAAAAGCCAAGTGTTGTTACAAACAGATTCTGAAACAGCCAAGTGTTGTTCCATACAGATTCTGTAACAACCAAGTTTTGTTACATAAAAATTTTGTAACAGCCAAGTGTTGTTACATAAAGATTTTATAGCAGCCAAGTTATGTTAGATACAGACTGCTTCACAGGCAAGTGTTGTTAAATATAGATTGTTTTACCACTAAGTGTTTGTACTTATAGATTCTGTAGCAGCAAGTGTTTTTGCATATAGATTATGTAGCAGCCATGTGTTGCTACATTTAGATTCTGTAGCAGCCAAATGGTGTTGCATATAGATTCTGTAGCAGCGAAGTGTGGTTACATATAAATTATGTTGCAGTCAGATGTTGTTACGTATAGATTCTGTAGCAGCCAAGAATAGTTACATACATATTCTGTGGCAGACAAGTGATGTTACATACATATTCTGTGGCAGCTAAATGTTGTTACATACAGATTGTGTAGCAACCAAGTGTTGTTACATACAGATTGTTTCACAACCAAGTGTTGTTACATACAGATTCTGTAGCAACCAAATGTTGTTACATACAGATTGTGTAGCAGCCAAGTGTTATTACATACAGATTGTGTAGCAGCCAGGTGTTGTTACATACAGATTGTGAAGCAGTGAAATTTTGTTACATACAGATTGTGTAGCAGCCAAATGTTGTTACATACAGATTGTGTAGCAGCCAGGTGTTGTTACATACAGATTGCTTCACAACCAAGTGTTTTTACACACAGATTCTGCAACAGCCAGGTGTTGTTACATACAGATTGTGAAGCAGTGAAATTTTGTTACATACAGATTATGTAGCAGCCAAGTGTTATTACATACAGATTGTGTAGCAGCCAGGTGTTGTTACATACAGATTGTGTAGCAGTGAAATGTTATTACATACAGATTGTGTAGCAGCCAAGTGTTGTTACATACAGATTGTGTAGCAGCCAAATGTTGTTACATACAGATTGTGTAGCAGCCAAGTGTTGTTACATACAGATTGTTTCACAACCAAGTGTTGTTACATACAGATTCTGCAACAGCCAGGTGTTGTTACATACAAATTGTGTAGCAGCCAAATGTTGTTACATACATATTGTGTAGCAGCCAAGTGTTTTTACATACAGATTCTATTGCAGCCAAGTGTTGTTACATACAGATTATGAAACAGCCAAGTGTTGTTACATACAGATCGTGTAGCAGCCAAATGTTGTTACATACATATTGTGTAGCAGCCAAGTGTTGTGACATACAGATTGTGTAGAAGCCAAGTGTTTTTACATACAGATTCTGAAAAAGCCAAGTGAAGTTACAAACAGATTCTGAAACAGCCAAGTGTTGTTACATACAGATTCTGTAACAACCAAGTTTTGTTATATAAAGATTTTGTAACAGCCAAGTGTTGTTACATAAAGATTTTATAGCAGCCAAGTTATGTTAGATACAGACTGCTTCACAGGCAAGTGTTGTTAAATATAGATTGTTTTACCACTAAGTGTTTGTACTTATAGATTCTGTAGCAGCAAGTGTTTTTGCATATAGATTATGTAGCAGCCATGTGTTGCTACATTTAGATTCTGTAGCAGCCAAATGGTGTTGCATATAGATTCTGTAGCAGCGAAGTGTGGTTACATATAAATTATGTTGCAGTCAGATGTTGTTACGTATAGATTCTGTAGCAGCCAAGAATAGTTACATACATATTCTGTGGCAGACAAGTGATGTTACATACATATTCTGTGGCAGCCAAGTGATGTTACATACATATTCTGTGGCAGCCAAGTGATGTTACATACATATTCTGTAGCAGCCAAGAATAGTTACATACATATTCTGTGGCAGACAAGTGATGTTACATACATATTCTGTGGCAGACAAGTGATGTTACATACATATTCTGTGGCAGCCAAGTGATGTTACATACATATTCTGGCACAAAAAGTGTAGTTGTTATATTTCTTATTAAGTTTGTGTCATCGTTGTTTGGGAGCTGCAGTTGTGTAGTGGCTAGACACGTGTGACTCGGAAGGTTTTGGGTCCTGACGGTACTCGACTTGATTCAGAAATGACTTTGACTCACAGATCAAGCCAGGATTGAATAGTACCAGATAGAGCTGGCGGCTGGCGTGATGCTGACCACATCACCAACCAAGTGCCAATTGGTCTATAAAATATAGGTCTAGCCCTATATGCCCATTACAATGAAGTCAATGACGACATTGACTTTGGTCTTGGCCTCCTCACTGTCAGCAAAAACCCAGCTAGAAAGACTGGACCGAGTACAAAATGAGGCTAAAACTAGGATTACCAGATTACACATGAAGTCATGATAAGAGTTTTTTTTATATTACATACTTTGTTATTTGCTTTTTTTTTCTGCATGAGAATAGAGCATAAGTCATTAGGGAAAAAATGTATCCTGTTTATCAAAACATTGGTATGTAAGAACATTGCTTGCATGTGTTAACATTATCAAATGAATTTACTGCGGAACTCCAAACTTGTCCCTGTGAGTTTTCATGGCTTTTGTCATCCAGTCGAGTTGTTGAATCAGCGTCTTTGCTGCCTTCTCCATGTGGTCATTAATAGGCTTGCCATTTTCATCCAGGGCTTTTTGCACTTCTGGGATACCAAATATGTTGGACACACTTAGAGTTCCTAGTTCGCTCAGAAAAGCTCGCAGCTGCATCGCTGCTCTCATACCGCCATATATCCCTGTCAAATCAAATATGTGCATTGAACCAGAATCAGTAGTTGCCAACTCAATAAAGTATACAAGCAGAGCATACTTCCACACTTGGAATATGGGTCAACTGCATGGTGTTCAGCATCTAGTACCACATTAAAGGAGTTAGACAAAGTGCAAAATCAAGCGCTCAGAGACATCACAGGAGGAATGAAATCAACCCCCATATTAGAAATGGAGAAAGCTGGGAAAACACAGGCACTGAGAGAACGCAGAGATACAAAGTTGCAAATACAAGCTGAAAAGTTCCTCAGTATGCCAGATCACCCGATGGAAAATAGATTTAAGAACCTAGCCTTGGGACGGTTAAAAAGAAGCAGCTTTATACACCAAGCAAAAAGAATATGTAGACAAACTCCTGACCTTCCAGAAATTGGTTGCCCACTAAAAAGTATTCCGGAACAAACCCCATGGAGAGAAAAATGTAAACTAACGGTACAAATCCAGACAAATGTGAAAGGGATATTTGACAAGAAAGAGCAAGATAGTGTACAACGCAAAATGGCCACCCTCAGTTATATTGATGAAGAATACCCACAAGAACAATGGGTCAGAGTCTATACAGATGGGTCCGCAGAAAGTGCAGTTAGAAATGGTGGTGCTGGAGTGTACATCGAATTCCCAGATGGTACTAGGGATAAGTCCAGCGTACCAACCGGGAAGTACTGCCCATAACTACGATGCAGAAACCCAGGCTATTAAGATAGCTACAGAGAAACTGCTAAATACCAACCTTGGCTCACAGTATGTGGTAATGCTTACAGATGCTAAATCAGTACTTGAAGCACTCCAGTCTAGGAAACTACCAGAATTGCAAACACTGCTGACACAACTCAGCGTTCAGCGAAGAGTCGTAATGCAGTGGATACCGTCTCATTGTGGAGTGCCTGGAAATGAGAAAGCTGATCAACTGGCAGGGGAAGGTGCGAAAAAGAGCAGCCAGATGTACCAGTCACATACCACCAAAAGAAAAGAATCATTAAATCGATCAGGAAACCACCAGCCCCAGCACAAGACGACTATTTTATTATGGACAGACCAGAACAAGTCATTATCTTCCGCCTCAGAACAGGGGCACAACCGATTATGTAACCACATGTTCACAAAATTCAAGATAGGTGTATCAGCCATGTGCACCTGTGGAAATGTGCCCCAGACCGCAGAGCATGTACTCCAGGACTGCACCGAATTTGACACATTAAGGCAAACCTTTTGGCCAGAAAGAACAACAGTGGAACGTAAACTCTATGGACCACTGAATGAACTAACAACGACAGTGAAATTTATACAAGAGACAAAACTGCTGATATAGATAACTTATTTCAGGCGAACGAAAGAAGAAGAAGTAGTTGCCATTTTATTCTATGTATCACTATGGCTATAAATCATTATCACTATGCCTCTGTATCTTTATCACTACGAATCTTACTCTCTGTAAATCATCACCTGGCAAAATTATTGAAATAGAAATAGTTAGGAAATTAGAACTTTAAAACAATGTTTTAAGCTCTCTCAGTTAACAGTGTCTGGCATCAACCCCCCTTTCCCCCCCCCCCCCCCCTTTTTCAACTAATCATATCATCCTCTCCGAAGGATGGGAAAGTCATCATCTGACAAAATATTGTAACTAAAATGAGCTTGGCATCCGTGTCCACCCAGACTAAAATGGGTAGCATTAATTTGTACTGAGAAGTATATGTGGCCAGTGTAACAGCTACCACATCACCCATCCAGTACCAGTACTACTGCTACCATTACAACCACCACTATCGCAATAACAACAACAAAAACTATCACAATAGTCTGTGTAGGTCAGTGTAGCCAGAGGAGTTAGCGCCGCATGCTGTCGCTACGGACTGTTTAATTTAATTGTGCCCCCGACATAGAAAAAAAAAACTTCATCACCTAACCAGTGATGGAACCCATAGTAAAAAGTACACTATACTCATGAATCGCGGAGAAAAATACCCCGCACCCGTCATCTCTCCCTCTCCGAAGGGACGATTTTTAACTGACTTGGCATCCGTGTTCACCCAAACTAAACTGGACTGTAAGACATCTTAGTTAACATTTTTAGTCATCGCGAATAGTTTTTGACTGAGAAGCGTCATGGAGAGGCAATATGGGACTTAACTGAAATCAGATGTCTTTGGGTGAAAGGCGCAGATATCGCAGCCTAGCTGTAAACCACAATACAACATGGCAACCACCATTTTAAGGGAAAAAGAACAATTATCACCCTTGTGGGGAATCGAACACTGGTAACCCACGTGAAGGGTGGAATACTTACAACTATACTACCGAAGATTGAAGAGTTTAGGTCAGATATCACAGCCTAGCTGTAAACCACAACACAACGTGCCAACAGCCCTCTCGAGGGGGAACAAAGATTACCCTTGATATGACCATTGAGCATCATGTCGCCGCTATCGCAGGTTAGCTGTGAATTCCAAAACCCAAAAAAAAGGCGTAGATATCGCAGTCCAGCCATAAAACACAACGTGCCACCCGCCCAGTTAAGGGATATAAAAAAAAAATGTACATCACCTTGCGAGGAATCGAACGCGGGTCACCCGCATAATAAGCAGATATTCACAACTACGCTACCAAAGACTGTCCGTAGATAGTGGAAATGAAATTACAGTGGAACCTCGCTTAACGAGCATAATTTGTTCCAGAATCATACTCGTTAAGCGAAACAATTTTTCTCATATAAAATAATGTAAAATACGATAATGCGTTCCATGTCGAAAAAATACTCATAAAATGCTATGTATAACGTTTATTCAAAGAAAATTATATGCATATTGTTAAGGAGAGTGAATCATCTTCATCTTTTCTTCAAACGCAGAACGAACCCACCTGGAATATGAATTCAATTTGCAGAAAAAAAAAGTCGAAATAATTATAATACATACAGATAATTTTTTTTTTTTTTACTAGAAAGATGTCCAGAGACATTTGTTTTTGCGGACGGTTGAATATTTGGCGAAAATCGCCACACAGCATTATCATTAAGAAATTTGAAACGCACATAGCCCCTTCCTTATTAGGGTGAGACTTCTCAATGTAAGATGCAACAGTTTGCCATGCTTTCAGCATTTCTCTTTTTTTATCCAGAAGATTGTTGTTTTTATGTTACCTCCTTCTCCTCTGACAAACTTTCCTCCAAAACTTCTTGCTGTGAAACACAATGCAACTCCATAAGCTCTTGGGTGGTCAGCTCTTGGCTGTGGGAACAGCAAAACGGTTGTACACGCAAAACTCAGGTCTAGGTAAAAGCCAAAAGTCCAAGCGGACGATTAACCGATACCTTCCGCCGGAATTCACAGCCGGTGAACGTAGAAGATGTACATATATCACAATATAACACAAGTTTGAGAAAATGTGTGATCACAAGCGACACTACGATGTTACTGGAACAAGTGCTAAACACTGATGTAACATGCGCACAATTGGGACTTTCTCTCTCCTCGCCACTCGTTATGCGAAACGTCGCTCGTTAAGCGTCATTTTTTTACAATTTGTTATGCGAGGTTCTACTGTATATAGTAAAGCAAAGTTCAAAAAGAGCTCAGCAGTCAAAAATGGCCAATCAACTAAAAACAAATCCGGACCAGCAACGAAACGAATAAAGATTTGACCATTTCTGGAGCTACGTTGTTTGTGTGATTTTCTGAACCAAAAAAACATGCTTTGAGTCAAAGGCAACGTTGTGTGAAAATTTGAAAGCAATCGGTTCAGTAGTTTCCGAGTCTAAATGTAACAGACTCGGAAAATTAACATTTTTATATAACTTAGATATATATCATTATCACTATGCCTCTATATCATTATTATTATGCCTGTGTATCAGCATCACTACTGCTATATATCATAATCATTATAGCACTATATCGTTATCACTATGAATCTGTATCATGATCACTATGGCTATATATCGTAATAACTATGCCTTGATATCATTATCACTATGCCCCGGTATCAGTATCGCTATGGCTTTATATTATTATAATTAATTCTATATATCATTATCACTATGAATCTGTATTATTATCACTATAGCTTTATATCATTACCCCTATGACTATATATGATTACTGTTATGGCTATAGCCTCATCACTGTGGCTATATATTTTAATCATGGATTGCAGCTGTCCTGTATTCACGTCGGGTTGCTCTTCGACTGGGCTCATAGACCTCAGAACCATGCAGTTTGGCCCCAGGACTGCCAAAGGGAACCGCCATCTCGCCTGTGCTCTTTAACGTTTATACGAGCAAGATTGCAAGCCTAGAAGCAGCAGGAGTTGGAAGGATACTGACTTTTGCGGATGATATACTTGCATATAGGCAGGGGGAAGAGAGGGAACAAACAGCCCGGGAGCAACAAGCGACAGTAGACAAAGTGACTGAGTGGTGTACAGAAATTAGGGCTGTCGTCCACCCGGAAAAGGCGTCTGTTTTGTGGTGTTCTCTGGACAACAGGATCGTTGAATCTAATGTCTCAAGTCTTACGGTAGATGGTAGAAACTAGGGCTGTATCGGAAATTCGCTTCGGGGCCGAATAGTGGACCTAATTGGTATTCGGCCGAGTAGTGGCGGTCGGGCCAAATACGAATAGTGATTTCTGCATACACTGCGATGGACTGAAATAACTCTCTCATTAATAATGTCACAATTTATAGCCGACTTTTCTTGATTTTCACCGCGGCACCCCTGGCATACGCACCCAGTTTTAGAACCTCTGCTGTAATCCCTTGGAGGAGTCAGCAGGCGCTGTTACCACGCAGCCGGGTCGCATTTTTTTTCCCGCTACGACAGATTTAGGCAGAAGGCATAAAGAAATTTGAAAGTTAAAATTTAAATTGTCTTTCCTCGCCACTGTCTAAAAAGTTTTTTTCCCCTCAAAGTGTATCATACTGCATAAAATGCCAACCGCAGCTTGCTAAAAATTGTCTTTGTATTTATCCCGACATGCGATCAATCCTCCATCTGTATTCGTGAAGGTGCAGCAGATAAGTAAGGTTGTGACTACATTTTTGCTCACATTTTGAAGTGGAAAATGTGGTCTGAACAATATTAACTGTTAGCCTCGTCATGTAAGCACGTATTTTTAAGGGAGTGCGTTCTTTTTTTTTTTTTTTTTTTTTTTTCGTGCGTGTGTATCTCTGTGTGTGTGTGTGTGTGTAAGAGAGAGAGAAAGCGTGCATTTTTTCGATCTTTCGGGGTGTCTTTGCCCAAATCAAATTGAAGATATTGCGAACGAGAATATGAAGGTGCATTTAAATTACATCGAACGGACGGTGATTTAAATGCGAAATAGGCACATGGATAAAATCAGATGAAAGATGCATTAATAAAATAAAAAACAAATTAGGACAGGCAAAAACTGCATTTTATTTAAAAAAAAAGGACATCTTATGCAATATATCTTTGTCTTGCTTGCTACATACATCCAGTTTTAACATATGGCTATGAGTCCTGGACAATCGGTAGGCAGGCCAAACAATTTTTTGAGGCCTCAGAGATGTGGTTTTACAGAACAATGCTTAAAATATATTGGACAGCCTAAAAAAAGCAACCACTAGGTTTTGAAAAAGGCGGGAGCCCGAAGACAACTAATCACAGACATCAGAAGGAGACAGTCATCATTTTTCGGCCATCTTATAAGAAGTGTGAAAATGGAACATGTGGTGACCACTGGAAAGATTTGTGGAAGGAGAGATAGAAAAAGACGAGAGAAGATTCTTGACAGTCTTGTTGCATGTCATGGCGGTGTGTCAGCACATGAACTGATACATGCTGCAGGAGATCGCAGATTGTGGCGAGGAGAAATCGCTAACACCAGTCGGCAAGGCACCTGATGATGATGCTACACTATTCGTATTCGGTACAGCCCTAGTAGAAACGTCTGCAGAGATAGCAAACTGAAATATTTGGGAATTACATTTGACAGGAGGGACCATGTGTAGAGTTTTGTAACAAGATGCCAAAAAGGACTTAGAGCACTTAAGACTATGGCTGCAATTGACACAGAGCAGAGAATGCTTTTCAAGCTATATCAGCACCTGATCCTGTCAGTGGTGGATTATGGCCTGGGACTGCTTACCATCTCATAGAGTCAGATGGACAAACTAGACCGCATATAGAACGCAGCTATGCGGGTCATTCTGGGTTGCACAAGAGACACCCCAGTGATGTGTATGCGATACATCCTTGGTTTGCCGACTGCTGCAGGTAGGCACAAGGTGCTGCAGGCGAAGTCATATCTCAGGGTAGGTGCAGACACAGACCACCCTTTGCACAAAGCTTTGGGTGCAGTTGAGGGTCAGCGGCTGATAAGAGGGAAGTCATGGCTCAGGCAGAAGACAATCAGAAAGGTTTGCATCCTTGAGAACATTAGGCAAGAAGAGAAATGGGTCAAAGTGCCACCTGAACAGTCAGACGTGTGTAGGGTCATAATCACACTTAGCCGGGAATGCAGAGGTGGCAATTCAGCAATCATATCAAGATAATGCTCGCTTAGAGGATTTGATCATTAACACAGACGGTTCAGTGTCAAGCGACAAAAGAGGTGCTTGGGGTTTCTTAGCAAAAGTTAATGGTTGACGTTTGGTGCAGGAGAGCCTAGCATATGATACCACAACATCCAGCTTAAGAATCGAGGTGGAGATGGTCACTGCAGCTTTCCGCTGTTTAGAGAACACGACATACACACATCGTGACTGTGACTGACTCAGAAAGCATGCTTATGCAGATCAGGACAGGCATGCTTTGTGCAGAATGGCATGCCTTGCTGCGGAGGATATGGGTGAGGCAAGCAGACAGACTGGCTGGCTCTGCACCAACTGGTGGAATACTGATGCATGATAAGGCAGACGTGGTTAGTGCCTTGTGAGAGAGCGTGTAAAAATCGGAGGAGCAGATGGATCACCACAGTCTGGTGAAACTGGTGCAAGGGGGAGCGACGAGAGGTTCTGGCAGTTGCTCAGAGGAAAGGCAAGTCGGACGTTTAATCAGAATGCCACTGGCACTATTAGTATCGGAACTCTTCGCTGCCTGCTGAAGATGGGGACGAAGTACTTATGGGAGTGCTGTGATGTCGGTTATTGAATCAAATCAATCAATCATGTACATGTAAACAAAGACACCATTAACATGTAGACAAAGAATATATGAACACGTAAACAAAGACGCCGTAAACAAAGTCAGTTATCATGTAAACGAAGAGTATATGAACATGTAAACAAAGTCACAGTTATCATGTAAACGAAGAGTATATGAACATGTAAACAAAGTCACAGTTATCATGTAAACGAAGAGTATATGAACATGTAAACAAAGAAACCATAAACTTTTTAAATATTAAAAAAAAAATAAAAAAAAAAGAATATATGAACATGTAAACAACATCACCGTGAACATGTAAACAACATCACCATGAACATGTAAACAAAGTCAATTGAGATGACAGGATTGGTTATTTATGACAAACAGCAAAATTTAGAACAGGAGTGTGAACTTGTGAGGTCCACTGTTTTCTTACCCATGGAGTAGGTGACAATGCCGCTGGGCTTGTAGCCAAAGATACTTGCTGGGAAGTGATCCAGCATGTTACTGAGAGCTGGAGGGATGCTGTGGTTGTATTCGGCAGAGACCACCACAAATGCATCTGCCTGTTTCACTTTCTCCTCACACTCCACCATCCACTTGGGAGCTTGGCTGCGGTCTGGGTAATGATAAACAGCTTTCTCCAGCAGAGGGAACTTTAGCTCCAAAGGATCTGCAGAAATGTAAAATAGCACTATCATCTGGGGGGTTTGCCATTATATCGCAGGAAACCTCACCAGAAAATCTAGTTATGGTGCTTTTTTTTCTTTTCTTGTTATTGTACTCAGCACGTGCATTGCACGCGATTCTTCTCAGACACTTCCTGTCTGCCATCATATTCTCCTTTATCCCCTTCCTGATTTTTCCACTGGGTGCAGCATGGCTGCATATTCATACGAATTAGCCTCAGTAGCAACATCGTTCGTGTTTCTCTTGCACGCATCTTTATGTCACTGTTGAGGTCGGCCTTTACATCTTTCATGCATCTGTAATTCACTGTAAAAGATGTCCTTTGGGACTATACCATCTTCTTGTGATGTCTGCATTTTTCAGTACCACAGTGTCCTGTCTTGTCCTGCCACTTAATATTTTTCTTAGGCATCAAACGTGAAAGCTATTTAACCCTCTCCTAGTGCGAATGAGTTGACCAAGTTTCACTGTCATAAAGCAAAATGGTGAGAACACAAGCCTGATAGACAAGAGTTTTATTTTAATCGCGAGCTTTCTCTTCTCCCAAACTCGGTGTTAATCGGCCCATTGTTGATTTCTTGGTTCAGCATTAGTCTGGTATTGACTGAGTATCCCAAGCATGTATAATGGTCAACTGTCTCCAGCCATGGAGACTACATTAGCCTCTTGCACTATCGTCTTGTCATCTTTTTGCTGATTTAGGAAATTCTAAAACACTCCCTGCGTAAATGCAATGAATATATTTAATAGCTGATATATCACTAGTGAATGTGTTACGAATATAAACACATGACCTCAGAACTATTCACCACAAACTCTCTATTATAACGGGTCTGGCTGGTTTACCAGGGCGGTGTCCTGTCTCTGCTACTATGTATACATTATAACACACGATGATATCAGTAATAAATCTTGCCAAACAAGGATCCGCAACAAAACCCCCACTGAGAATAACATTCTAAAAAACTGTTGACAAACTACACCATCAAAGAACTCCTATTCACGGATGATCAAGCTCAGATTGCTAACTCAGAAACAGAACTGCAAGGTCACATAAATGGGTTGAAAAAGGTATGAAAACTAACATCAACGAAACAGAGGTTTTTATCATAACAAAGAAGAAACACACATCCAAATGACAGAACACCTACTGAAACAAAAGAAGAACAATGATTTAGCAAGCATTATATAAACTGGCAAATCAGAAGATGCGATGCAGTGTTGACGCAATAAAGCAAACTAACTTGTTTGTAAGCTCGCGGCAAAAGGTCTCGTAGCATAATAAGTTTTAGTACTGCGTACAACTTAAAAGGGGTGGGGGAGGGGGTATAGCTATAACACTGTTATTTTCGACACTTGCCGAGTACATCGGCATGAAACTATAACCCTGTTTTAACGCTCACGAATACATCGATATGGTAGTGTAACTGTTGAGTTTTGACACTCACCGAATCTATCCGCATGATACAATATCATTAGTTAGTTAGTTGGGTTATCACCATTGCACTCCGGACATGTCCATGGGTGCTCAGAACCTCCCCTCAGTATGAACCCCAGTGTCTGATGGCTAAAAGAACCAGTTCTATGTTGATTAACAAGTCTGGTGTGCGTCTCGTTTTTTGCTATGCCGATCTTAATTCCCAAGTCTGCCATTTTGGCGAGTGATGTGGATTCACTGCCACCAAAGTCGCCTTTCCTTCCTATTTCTCCGAGGGCAGTAATAATATCAGCATGATCCATAGGCCGACCGTCGGTGGTGATAGCGAATCCAGCCAACATGTCAGCTCTTTCATTTCCATCGACGCCTGCGTATCCCGGAACAAAAATAAAGGTGTCAGTGGACAGTGCACAGTGGACTTCTGTAATGATTCAAGCCATTGTCTTCGCACCGAACCTGCCTGAATCCTCCGGATCATACTCATTGAATCACTGAGTATACATACGCGGGTGTATTTTTGTGTTTCGAGCCAGTCAAACGCTTGCGTCACTGCCATCATCTCCATCGTCATGCTGCTGGTTGTCACGGAAAAGGCGCGGTTGGCTTCTTTGACTGTTCTGCCCGCTGAGCGTGCTGTGAATGCCCATGCGCTTCTTTTTTGGCGTATAACGGATCCGTCTGTGTAGATTAGTGCATCTGCTTCGTCTCAATTTTCACTGATGAGGGCGTTGACCTCTGCATTAACAGCAACGGGATTCTCTTCTCTACATCGCCTGTTGAGTGTGGCAATGCAGGCAAATGTACAAATAAACGCATGAAGCACAGGTATCCACTCTGCACCAGGTATGATGTCGGTTAGGCTGAATATTTGCCTAATAACATCTTCTGCCCGACCTAGCCACGATTTTCCCCTCTTCATTCTGTCGCCCTTTTCACCAAAAAGCGCTTGATGCAGTGGATATTTCTTATCAGCACATATTTTGAGGTATGCCCGAGCCCTCCACATCCTGATCCTTTGGTTCATTGTTGGAAAGTCAAGTAGATACCTCATTGCTCCACAGGATACAATATCACTTTATTATAACACCAACATCCACGTGATACAATATAAGTTTTTTTTATAACACCCACAGTACATGGAAAGTACAAGTTTATTATACCTCATGAATCCACACATGATACAATATCAGTTTTATTTTTTAACACCCACAGAATACATCCACATGATACAATATCACTTTATTATAACACTCACCGAATACATTCACATGATACAATATCAGTTTTATGTTTAACACTCACCGAATACATCCACATGATACAATATCAGTTTTATTGTTAACACTCACCGAATACATCCACATGATAGTTGTGCAGTTCCAGTTGTTTCTTCATAAACCGGGCCACCCTCAAACCCATGCGGCCGTCTCTGGTTGATCCCAGAAAGAGAACAATCCGTAGTTTGGAGGCTGCCATGTCTGCGGTGAATCTCCGATACATACACAAAATGAAACGAAGCTGGGAGACTATAAAACAGCTCAGAAACACAGAGATGCAGGTGTGTGTAGACCTGTAGCCCGGTGTGCAGGCAGTGAATTTAGCCCAGAGTTCTACTTCCAGCAGAAACACTCAATGTGTCCAGTGAACCCAACAAAAATGTCGAACATAGGCAGTCAGCTCCCGCACGCCCCAGAAGCCGCCTGTCACCATGACTGCGCACAATATTTATTGCTTTCCCGTCAAACAGAAACCAACCCTCACCTCGTGCAACAGCCAGGCTTTCAGCGTTGTGTTTATGATGTCAGCAAAAATAAATTGCTTCAATAGACAGACTGTAGCTTGCAAATCGTTACATTTATGTCTAACCACTGAGTGTATGTCTGGGTGTATATGTGTATGTCTCCGTGTGTTTATACATATATATATATATATATGTATGTGTGTGTGTGTACTTGTGATGGTGTACATTTGCGTGTCTCAGTGAGTGTGTCTATATATGTGTCTCAATGATGTGTACATGGATGTATGAGGTTTCTATAAATACTCACTTGACATTGTCCTTCGTCCCTACAACCCAAAAAATGTGAAGAAATCAAATAAAACTGATACAAACTTGCACGATCGCCTGAAAGAAACATATGCAAGATAAAATATAACAGTAATGTACTGTGAAATCTCAATAAACATTGTCACATCCCAATTATAACCATAAGGTAAAAAAAAAAAATTGGTGTATGTGGAAAATAACTTTTACATCTTCGTATGTTTCAGCGCGTTAATTGTTGTATGACATTATAAGAGCATCAGAAAAAAGGCCGGTTATTTGACCGTCATGGCTATCGGGTGATGACTGGTAATCCTGTATTCTTATTCAGTGAAAGGATAATGTGGTCAACCCGGAGCTACTATTTCCGTTCAGATTTCCTAGTTAACCTTTTGGACTGGCACGACACCAGCGGCCTAACCTCTGGCCACTATAGAGATGTAAAAACACCACACTAGCGGCCTAACCTCCGGCCACTATAGAGATGTTAACACACGACACTAGCGGCCTAACCTCTAGCCAGTATAGAAATGTCAAAACACAACACCAGCGGCCTTACCTCCGGCCACTATAGAGATGTCAACACACAACACCAGCGGCCTTAAATCTGGCGCAGACAGAGACGTCCACATACCACTACATAGGCTTAACCTCTGGCAACAATAGAGATTTCCACACACTACACCAGCGGCCTAACCTCTGTCCCCTATAGAGATTTCCACACACCACACCAGCGGCCTAACCTCTGGCTAGTCTTATCTCTTGTGTCGAGTGCGGCACATAGGGCAGAGGTCGTGACTCTCCATGCACGGCGGTCCGTTGCAATCCGTTGTAGGTCTTGGATCTGGCTGCTATAGACATTTTTACATACCACATTTCTACACACCACATCAACGGCCTAACCTCTGTCCACTATTGAGATTTCCACACACCACACCAGCGGCCTAAATTCTGTCCACTATTGAGATTTCCACACACCACACCAGCCGCCTAACCTCTGTCCACTATTGAGATTTCCACACACCACATCAACGGCCTAAACTCTGTCCACTATTGAGATTTCTACACACCACACCAGCGGCCTAACCTCTGTCCACTATTGAGATTTCTACACACCACATCAACGGCCTAACCTCTGTCCACTATTGAGATTTCTACACACCACACCAGCGGCCTAACCTCTGTCCACTATTGAGATTTCTACACACAACATCAACGGCCTAACCTCTGGCTGCTATAGACATTTTTGCACACCACATTTCTACACACCACATCAACGGCCTAGCCTCTGGCTGCTATAAACATTTTTACATACCACATTTCTACACACCACATCAACGGCCTAACCTCTGGCTACTATAGAGATTTCCACACACCACACCAGCAGCCTAACCTCTGGCCACTATATAGATTTTCACTAATCCCTTTTGGACTGGCACGACACCAGCGGCCTAACCTCTGGCCACTATAGAGATGTAAAAACACCACACTAGCGGCCTAACCTCCGGCCACTATAGAGATGTCAACACACGACACTAGCGGCCTAACCTCTAGCCAGTATAGAAATGTCAAAACACAACACCAGCAGCCTTACCTCCGGCCACTATAGAGATGTCAACACACAACACCAGCGGCCTTAAATCTGGCGCAGACAGAGACGTCCACATACCACTACATAGGCTTAACCTCTGGCAACAATAGAGATTTCCACACACTACACCAGCGGCCTAACCTCTGTCCCCTATAGAGATTTCCACACACCACACCAGCGGCCTAACCTCTGGCTGCTATAGACATTTTTACATACCACATTTCTACACACCACATTAACAGCCTAACCTCTGTCCACTATTGAGATTTCCACACACCACACCAGCGGCCTAAATTCTGTCCACTATTGAGATTTCCACACACCACACCAGCCGCCTAACCTCTGTCCACTATTGAGATTTCCACACACCACATCAACGGCCTAAACTCTGTCCACTATTGAGATTTCTACACACCACACCAGCGGCCTAACCTCTGTCCACTATTGAGATTTCTACACACCACATCAACGGCCTAACCTCTGTCCACTATTGAGATTTCTACACACCACATCAACGGCCTAACCTCTGTCCACTATTGAGATTTCTAAACACAACATCAACGGCTGCTATAGACATTTTTGCATACCACATTTCTACACACCACATCAACGGCCTAGCCTCTGGCTGCTATAAACATTTTTACATACCACATTTCTACACACCACATCAACGGCCTAACCTCTGGCTACTATAGAGATTTCCACACACCACACCAGCAGCCTAACCTCTGGCCACTATATAGATTTTCACTAATCCAACCAGTGGCCTAACCTGTGACCACAATACAGATTTCCACACACCAGCGGCTATTCTCTGGCTCCTATAGAGATGTCAATCAACACACCGCACCAGTGGCCTAACCTCTGGCTCCTTTAGGGATGTGTCACAGACCTGCTTTATAATCTGCTTACTCTTGCTCGTTTGAAAGCCAGCTAATAAATTTAACTACCCTAGAACACACTTAAAATACGCACCTACAGAGTACACACATAATCTTTAATGTACATAAAGCAGTTCAACTTAAAGCAAGCCTCAACAGCCATGGACGGTCCCTAATCCGAAACGCCGGTGGTGGTAGCTTTTACATTCACTAATCCACCCCTAGCCTTTCCCATGGATGTACCGAAGGACTCGATTCCACCTCACTGTCGTACAGCGCTAACTAAGCTGCCGTCCTCGCCACGCGAGATTCAGTGGCACACGCAGGGTGAGTGATCTAAGTATGAGCGGGCAGTGTTAACGCCACCAACATTAACTACCTGCTTTACAGATTCTGTGTGAAAACTTCCACTACGCAAGATACATTACACATGTACAATCTTGTCGAAACACCGTATAGAAACACAACATATCTAAAGCCTAACCACAAGTACTATCCTTGCTAATCGTCATTAAAAGAAGATACGTTTACAGTCGGTGTTCTACAAACGTCCAGTCAAAGTGTCATACACACGTCTCTCTCGAACAACCTCTGTCCGAGCCTTTTGTTCCTCTCCAGCGTTCATCTCTGACTCTGACATCCGCTCCTCCTTAGGAAAGATGCTTCCTGACAACAGTCTAAACTCCTTGTCTCAATCTGTAGTCAAGTATCTCTAAACGGGTATGGGATGTCCACATAGTTGTGTCAATTTTTGGTTACCCATATCCAAGATGTCCCATGTTACAAGTCAGTAGTCATCTAAGTATATCGTCAACATTCAATTGCATAGATGTAATATAGTCTCTATCTAGAGTTAGTCAAATCTGTAAAGTCAATATTTATTTACCTAAATTTGATATATTCCTTATCCTGAGTAAGTCACTTGAGGACACAGTACAACTACATTTCATCAGGACCTGTACACATCTACGGAGAACACTTCCCTCTCTGGCTGCCAGTGATATCAGTAGCTGTCCCAAATACGCCACCATTTTCTGACACCTCCTGATCATAATGGGGATGACTAAAAATGTAATGTGGGTAGACCCACTAACTTCACTCCCGTGCAAGTTAGACGCCATCGAATACACTTTCCAGTGAAAACTTTAATCAATGGTCATCATAGATATCAATGACTCCTCCCGAGTAATCGATGGTTTTATGGAAGCGTCGCGTCATTCTGACATCCCGTCGTTAATGTGTGTCATTTCAAGCAATCCCTGTCGTAGACATTAGTCAGACCTTCTGACCCACAGTGCAGTATAGATAGTAAATATAAATGTGGCTTGTGTGACACATTCACAACCACTAGGGACAGTGTAAAACCTCAAGTGTATTTCCCTTAATGTACAACTTTCGTGTAACCTTAGTTAAGAATAATCAGAAGGAAAAAAAATCATCATCTCTTTTTTTTTAAGTTTTCCTACCAAAAAAAAAAAAATTAAATTAAATCAATTTTAAAAAAATGGAATAAAATAAATTCAAAGTTCTGAAAAAAAAAAAAAAAAAAACTAAATAAATACCTTCTTAACCTATAGTCTACCATCGGTCAAGTTTATATTCAAATCACATTTTACAGATTTATTTGAGTTGAATGTATATCTTTATAATTACATAGTCACTTATCTTTTATGCAGCTAGTTGGCAATTGTGCTGTCATCCACCAAAACCCAAATGTGGTTTACTTCACAACAAACAACATGTTGCACTTAACGTTTGAATAGTGTTGCTCAATTTACAGGAAACTTTTGAACTTCAACAGGAAAAAACCCAAAAACATAAAAATTATTTTTATCTGTTATGCCTTAACTTATGAAAACAAAATAAAAATTAATGTGTTTCAACTTAAGTGAAAAAAAAAAAGAAAATGGTTACAATTGAAAATAAATAATGTGTACATATACATTATGATTTTTTTTTAAATATTTCAATGCACTATGAAAAT